TGCGCCTGTATTTTCTTTTAAATATAGCTGTTTTTGTTGACAGTCTTACTATACTCTGTTGTCTCATCATTGAGTCTTTCCCTCTTTTCAGAAAAGCTCTCCAGTGAGACTTATTAATTTTTGAGTCATTTTGGCTACGTTTAACTCAGATCATCAAAGCTATCACTGAGACAAGTGTACAATGTGGGAAAGAGGCATGGATGGAAATGGTAAAAAAAATAATGGATGGGCCATACACCAACTAAAGTAATTGTTGGGTTCTGACTTAAAGCCTGCCTCCAGATGCAGATGTACACTTGAAGTATATGAACTCATTTGTCACTGAAAAGCTTGCCATCAGATTCAGCTTGTCATTTGCCATTCACCAAAAAGCCTGATATACATCTGCAAGCAACTGATTTATTATGATCTCTGTGTAGTCAAACCTCTCTGCTAATGTGAATCTGTATTTGCAGCTGCTTCTCACTGCTAGCCTTCATTGCATCAGCTCTACCTCAGATCATCAGGCATTCCATTTTCATAAGGCGTGTGTTATGGCTGGTGTCCAGATGTCCCCACCAAAGCCTCGTGCAGTCATAGGTGGGGCTTTTTCAGAGGTGGCTGAATCTAGAGTATGTGACACTGGGATTGATTCATGGTACAATGCTAGGATCAGGGGCACTAGGATTAAGGGTGTGAGTGCTATGCACCCTAAATAGCCTGGAGAAGATATAAGGGATAGAAAGAACTGTGATCAGCCCTTGCTTGCTTTTGCTGCTTCTGCCCTGCCATGGACTGTTTCTCCTCTGCCACCCTGTCTTAGAAGCAGCCAATTATGGACAGAAACCTCCGCAAACTGTGAGCTAAATAAGCCTTTCCTCCTTCAACTTTGGGTGTTGGGTATTTTGTCTCAGCAATGAGAAAGTAACTAACTCAGATTGCACAACCTAGATCTCTTGCTTGCACAGTTTACAGTAAGGCTCATGCTCCTTTGAGAATCTAATCCTGCTACTGATCTGACAGGAAACAGAGTTCAGGCAGTAATGCAAGCAAAGGGGAGCAGCTGTAAATACAGATGAAGCTTTTCTCACTCGCCTGACACTCACCTTCTGCTGTGTGGCCTGGTTCCAGTCTGTGGCCCAGGAAATGAGAACTTCTGTCATATTATAATGACAGGATTCCTGGAGCTATGAAAAGTTACGGCTTAGGAGATGGGGCTGTAGCTCAGTGGTCTCTTTCCAGGATGGAGCAGGAGCCTAGCACAGACTAGATGCTCTGTGTGGTTGGTACTGATACTGGCTGGCCAATATTTGTTTCTCCTTCTGTTGCACTTCCTTCCCCACCGCTTGAAGTTAGTGTGGCCTCTGACTTGCTTTAACCAAATGCATTGATTACGTTTCCATTGCTGGGAAAAAGACACCTATCATACACAACTTAAAGGAGAGGTTTCTTTTGGCTTACGGTTTCAGATGTTTTAGTCCATGGTTAGCTGGCTCAAAGACAGAAACATTGTGGCAGGAGGGCATAGCAGAGGAAAGCTGCTTTATTTCATGGTGGGGATGTAACAGAGTAAAAGGGAGTGAGCCAAAGGGGAAGGAGACGGGGCTAGATATAGTGCCCAACATCATGCCCCTACAACTCACCCAGATGCACCTATAAGTGTGCTTTGCTAATCTCCTAGGCATCTCTCAAGCTCATCAAGTTGACAATCAAGAGAAACTATCACAAGCCCACCCCTTGTAAACTTGACACCCAGGGGATTTAGCTCAGTGGCACAGCACCTGCCTGGCAAGTGCATGGTTGTGAGTTCGATTGTCAGTACCGGAGAAAAACCAAAACCAAAACAAAAAAATCACTTCTAAACATGACACCCAAACAACTCTGAAAACCATGCTTAACTTCAAAACAGAGTCAATAACAAGCTCATAGTTACATAACATGATGTAACTATCCTATGTGCAATGGAAAACACATTGATTTTTCTCCAAAGTCTCAGCATCTCTGGCATTGCTCAAAAGTCCAACTCTGAAGTCTTCTGAGACTCAGGGCAAACTCCTAGCTGTGAACCCCTGTAAAATTCCAAAAGCAAACTAGATACATGCCTGTAATTGTAGCAGTAAGAGAGGCCGAGGCAGAAGGGCCTCAAGTTCAAGTCTTACCTAGGAACCTTTGTCTCAAAATAAAAAATGAAAAGGCAGAGGGGTATAGCTCAGTAGTGGAGTGCTCCTGGTTTTGATCCCCCCTACCAAACACACACACACACACACACACACACACACACAACAGAACAAAAAAAATTCCAAAAGCAGTTTACCTACTTCCAAGATACAATGGCACAGAGTACACATTCCCATTGCAAAAGGAAGAGATAGAATAGAAAGGAATAGGATTAAAGCAGAAGGGCAAACATTAAGTTTGTGGCTCCATGTCTGGCCCCTGGGGAACATGATCGTGAGATGTGAGCTCCAAAGGCCTTAGGTAGCCCTACCTCTAACACCAAGATCTGGCTTGGCTGGTGTCAGGTCACATGGTCTCTCTCTTGGGCAGGCTCTACCCATTGCTGACAGTTTCCCTCTGCAAAGGCTCCACATTTCTGGTATCTCTCATTTCTTAGGGTCTCCACTGCAACTTCTGCTTCACCCTCACAGTTTCATGCTATCTCTTTTCAGAGGCTTCTGGCAGAGACTCTGACACTGTGATACATTGAAATCTAAGTAGAAGCCTTCATGACACTATAACTCTTGCATTCTGCATGCATGCAAAACCAGTATCATGTGGATAACACCAAGATCTGCTGCCAGTTTAAGCAACAGCTGGGTCCCATTGGACCATTGCTGCAGGGGCCTGGCCATGTATCTGGCTGCTGAGCATGGTAAGGTGAATCCCAGGAAATCAGTTCTCTAGGTACCCCTGCTTGAGCTGTGGGCCCAGGGGCTGTCTTCACAAAGGAAAACTTTGCACTTTTACATTCTTGAACCTGTGATGGGTGGGGTTTGCTGATTCCTCAGATGCCCTCAAGACGTCTTCTTGTCTCAGTGCAAAGTACAAGGCTGCTTTTTTTTTTTTTTTTTTTTTTTTTTTAAGGCTGCTTTTTAATGGCACCAATCTCTTCAACCACACCTTCTTTGGTCCCAACTTTACATATGCTTCTTTTCTAGCCAAACTCCAAGTTTTTCAGGTTTTCCTACTCAGTTGCTTACTCCTGATTCTTACTGTAAAGCTGGCTCAAAGTAGTCAGCAATAGCTGACAGCCTGGAGGTTTGGATTGCCTTGAAATTTCCTCTGTTAGATAAACTAGTCCATCATCTCTAAACTCAATCTCCTACAAAGTATAAGGATGTGAACAGAATATAGACAAGTTCTTTTCCAGAATGCAACGTGCATGGCCTGGTACAGCTTTCATTCCCATCTGAGTACAGTCTTTAGAATATCATTAGTATTTAGGTCTTCTGAACTTACACTAGATCTTCCCATCCAGCTCTGCTTACAACATTCCAGGCTTTCTCTAGCTCACTTTTCTAAACTTTTCTAGACTCCTCCCATGAACCAGTTCCAAAGTCTTCTAAACCACGTCAGGCAGTGCCAACAATGACCTCACTTGTCTGATACCAGTTTTATGTATTAGTTAACTTTTCCTTACGCGAACAAAATACCTGATATATACAGGTATCAGGCGAAGTTTCTTTGGGCTTACTGTTTCAGGCATTTCAGTCCATGGTTGACTAAAATCCAAGGCAGAAACATTATGGTGAAAGGATATGGCAGAGGAAAGCTGATTTACCTCATTACAGACAGGAAGCAGAGTGAAAGGGAGAGTGCCAGAGAGGAAGGGGACAGAGACCAGAAAGCGTCCCCAAGGCCATGCCTCAGTGACCCACCCAGATACACCTAGATAGGTTCTTTACTAATTGCTGAGGTGCCTGTCAAGTTAATCAAGTTGACAATCAAGATTAGCCAGCATACCAATGAAACATGAAGGTGTATCGCTCCCAAGCATGTGGATACCACTCCCAAGCAAGCAGAAATTTTAAGAGCCAGGATGAAACACTGTTGGAGCTTAGAGACCGATACCACCAAACACAGCACTTTTTTTTTTTTTTTGATTTGTCAAGCAATTTTATCTAGAGGAAATTAAAGACCTTAAAAGCAACTCAGAATCCAGTTCTCTCTAACTTTTCTCTTCTAATAAGAATGAA